TACGTCACAGAAATCGTTTCCTGGCTCGGGTTCGCAGACGTTATTTTTCGGCGGAACCAAGTAACAGCCGGAAATACGTCTGCGTTCGCAGGCTAACACTAATTTCAACTTTAAGTTGAATAGCCGAGTGTTTCACTTGCCCATAGACACAACACAATAATTTTTTAAAAACTACAACTTTGCTTATGAATAATCTCAACTTTGAAACGCATATTACATTCACAAAATAACCTAGATGTTATAAGAATGTATCAGTATTATCTGCGAGTTAACCTGTGAACAGGCCCTCTAGTCGAGGATAGGACGAAGAGAACGCGGGAAGAAAGAGGATAGAAGAGAGAGGAGGGGGGACGCCGACGCTCCAACCCCCACCCTATTCCCCCCTCGGCCATTTCACTTTCAGCCATGTCCTCCTTGGCCCTTCCAAGCGAGGTCAGACCCTTCCGGCCGCAGCCTGTTCAAAGGCTAAAATGATTATCCATTTCCACTCAGCTTAATTGTAAAGGATGTGGTGGGGCGGCTCTGACCAGGGTCCAGGGATCATGTGTTGTGTTCTTGGACAAGACCCTATACTCAAGTGTCCGATTCGCCTCTTTGTCAAAACTCGTTTTCGCGCAAAACCATGTTCTAACTAATGCTTGGCAGTTCTGTTTATACCAAGAAATGTTGTCCCTGGTAGGAGGGTCACCCTCCACACCGAGACAACTCGGTAGGACTATTTTAATTACATTTTTGCGTGCGCCTACGAGGTTCTACTGAGTGCAAATGACAGGCAGGACTCAGATTGTGATTGTGTTTAACGTATTTTTTAATTTCTCCCTGAAGTTTACACATACCATAAAAAAATAACATTTAAATTGATTTAATGAACCAAACTCTCTAATGTTACAGGGTAAGCTGTTCCAAAGGGTTACCCCGCTGATCCGATCTGTTCCCATTTCAAAGTAATTATGGATTAAGTTCATCAAAAACGAGTGTTTGAGACTACAGGATTTGCTCACTTTTCTAATATTATTTCTTGTCTACTTGATCCTGGGAAATTCCTTGCTGACAATTTGTAGCTTACTTTATTTACTATCTAGCTAGTTATGTAAAATGTTTGGTCTATAGTATTCTTATTAGAGTGATGACTTCAACTGGTAAAATATAAACATTTATTACCAGTAAATTAACATCACTATAATCTGCCAATCTGACTCACTAATACTTGACAATCATTTGTTCTCCTCCATTGGTGTCCTCCGTTGGGCCATTAACTTTATAGAGAGAAATCATAAGAAATCTGGCAAAGTTCTTTGCTGTATGTTTTTGTTGGCTATTTTGGGGTTGACTGTGCACAAAACCTGGCAAAATACAAAAGGTGGTTAATAATGTGTGCTCATATAACTGACCAATAGAGACATTGCAATTATGCAAAGTCTATGAGCATAAAGCAAAAGATGTGCAGGGTCAAGGACTTTCCAACATCAGTCTTCGCCTGTTTTCTTTTTTCTTTAATGTTTACCGGGTTTCTGGACCATTTCCCTCTATTATGATTGGTCCCAATAAAATGACAACAAAGTGGAATTAATTAAGTCATATTATTACAAAACAATGGCAGATACATCACTGAGATAAGTCAACAAATTTTTACATAGCAAACTTTCTAGCCTGTTCCTGGCTCTCAGTCAGTGGAGATGATCAAAAAAGTGGGTGGGCAATGAGCAAGATCAGCAACAAACGTGATCCAGGAGAGAAAAGGAGAGGGTTTCTTGACCTCCCCTTTTTCTCTATCAGACCTCACTTGTCGTCTGCCCGCTTTTTCGATCTTCCCCACTGACCAAAAGCCTGGAAAAGCCTACAAACTTTCTAAGTGAAAAAATAATACACCTGGTTGTTGCTGTATGACTAAAAGTTTCTCTCTAGAGCTAGTACGTCATCAAATGTCATCCACTCTGAGGCAGGGAATGTATAAACTGGAAGATCAACTTTCCTGATTTCCATGGTCTTTCCAAAGTAATGGCATGACCACATCTGTCTAGGATTTGAATTTGGCAATCCTTTACTTTTTCTCTTATGATGTCAACTGCAGAGATGTCAAGGATCTGTGTAGCATGAATACAATATGTTCAGTTATTCTCCCGAAAAATGATCTATTGTGGACTTAAGTGTGGGATTTGAGGGGCAAAGAAGCCTGCAGTACTATGCACTTTACCATTGCCACCTAGGAAAGGTTTTTATTAGTTTTAGACAACTTTTAGACATCTTCCTGAGAACTAATCTAACAACATCTTGCCACCGGTATCAAACGTTAGCAGGTTGAAACTTTTGATTGAAATTCCCACCAGAGTGAATGGTGAATTTGACTATTTAACATCTCGCCCCTCACCATGTCAACATATCCCATGTTTTGATTGGTTGATTCATGTTTTGATTGGCTGTGGAAACACTCACCTGTCAGCTCATGTTCCCAAAGTATAGGAAAGCAACATGTTTATAAACCACTTTTAACACAGTATCTTTACTAATTAGTAACACTTGTGTATGTAGAGTCAATGAGTTCATTTATTGTTAGTATCCAGTGTTTACATATACATGTATATTAATGAAAATTCACCACATGAGAATTTCATTCAGGAGAAGAGGTTGTTACATGCAGATTTGTAACAGTTCATGGCAATTAATTAGCTGACTCAGTGTAGCCATCACTGACAACAAATATTATATTTCCATTTTTGTGATGCAAATTAAACAACAATCAAAATCTAAAGTTTCTAAGCAGGAAGGAGGATGGGCTGGTGGAATGAACTTTCTCAAATTTCCATCAATTTTGTTAATATTCCCTTAATGCTAATAGACCATTTTACAGTTATCTGCTCAGAGACCTGGCCTTTGCATGGCAGCGAGGCTGGAGGTGACCTTGTTTTGAAACAGACCTCTCTGCTTTTGTTGTGTAAATCAAGTTGTTCTAATGCTAACTAGGTGCATTTACATGACAAAAGCAGTGAGGTCTGTATCAAAGCAAGCTCAACTCCAGCCTCACTGCCATTCAAAGGCCAGGTCACCTAGCAGACAACTGTAAAATGGTCTGTTGGTAACTACATTAGCCCTACCTGGTTGTTTAATACCAAAAAATGTCCCCACTCCCAGCACCAAACCAGGGGATTGGTGCTAGAGGTTTTGTTCTGAATATTGACAGACCCTGGATTAAATACATACATGCATAAATGCATACATATATATACTTTATTTATGCTTGAGATTTACAGAGTAGCTGTAGAGCTAATATCTTTGAGAACATATGTTACAAAAAGAAAAAAAAAAAAAAATAACAATAATAAAAAATACTAATACATGTGTTCTCATTTCAATCAAACTGAACATTCCTTCCCTTTTACTAATACTGTTTAAAGGTGCAGTCATCCCCATTTGCCTGACGCAAATATCAGTGGTTCTGGTTAATTTTTAATTACCATATCACAAAATATAAAACCCCAGTTGGAAAGATAGCAATACTGGTTTATGCCTTAAATTAGCCATGAATATGACATCCTTGACTAAACTTTGGATACTATACAAACTAGTCCAAAATATAAACAACAATTTTTTGTGCCAGTAATATTATTGTTTGTATGTAAGAAAAAAAACTGTTCTTTACCTTTTTCATAAAAATCATGTGATTCCTGCCTTGCTGCACACATTATCTTCACAACAAAGAAAGGCATGGCAACTTCACGATGGGATACTTTTTTCAGCATAAAATAGAAATCCTCAGGTGTTTTAGGCAGCAAGTAGTTCTTTCCACCACTGGCCATCTCACTCAAGAAATCACTCAGTTTTGGTGCATTTATTCCTGCAGGACACATGAGTACCAGTGAAGATAGCAAAAAAGAATATCGTACAGCAAAGACACCAGCCACAAATCCACCCATTGATAGACCCACCAAGTGAAACTTTCTTTTATTTAGCCCAATAGCCACCACAAACTGAAAAGAAACATTCTACCAGTAAGAAAATAAGGTAACTATACTGTATATTTTATACTGATACACAGTAACTTTGTTATACTTAACAATTAGATTATGAGCTTGAGATTTCTACGAGGTGATAGTTCATGAAGCCGAAGGCGGAATCAACTATCGCCATCACCTCATAGAAATCAAGAGCGAATAATCTACTTGTTTTAGTAGAATTCTAACTGAAATTGAGAATTTGCACGGACTGAATTAATTGTCAATTTGACATTTGCAGTTGTGTACAGGTGCTTATCAGTTTCTTTCAAAAATTTCAAGCCTTTGGTTTAGTCTTCTCAGGAATTTTGTTTATTCATTTGTTTGTAAATGTTCTTTCAAAACTTCAGAGAAACAAGGAAAAGTTGAAAATTTGTCGACCACACCAAGCCACTGCACACTTATGGCTGATAGTGTGTAATATTGGCACAACCAATCAGATTACAGCATTTGCACTAGTATAGTAGTAGAATTCTACTAAAATTTATTACAAAAGGGGCAGTTCCTCTTAAGTTTAAAGATCATTATCTTTATTTTTAAATCTAAAATAATTTTCTGTTAAGTTTTACAAGGTTAAAGTGAACCTATACACAGACAGCTCTGTTGATATCATACAAACTTTTAATAATTTTAAAACTAATTTTTAACTATGAAAACACACACATGCATGCAAACAATTTGTTTCTACTGCTCTGCATAAATCATCAACATCATCATCAATATCATCATGTCCTTTTCCCCAACTGGGAAATTGGGCACTACATAGATTTATTACAAATTGGTTATCATGTTAGACATATTACTGTACATCTCAGTTTCTTTTTTTCTAAAAACTACTGAATAATATCTTTGACATGATTTTATGGAAACATCAAAATTGTAAATTGTAATAATATTATTAAATGTGTGGTTCCCAAGAAAGGTTACTGGAAATTCCAAGGGGGAGGAAAGGGGGGAGGCTTCTCAAGAGCAAAAATTTTAAAAAGAAAGTATGATTCCAGAGGGATCAGGGAACATGAAATCAAACCAAAAAGCAGAGTTCCCATTAACGCACAGGTGTGCATCTTATATGCATAAAAAATGAAAAGAACGCACAGTTTTTTGGCAAAGTGTGTCTTTGGGATGCAGGATGAAAGTTCAAAAATTTTAGTGACAGGCAAAGTAACCTCTGAAAATCAAAACGAACCCTCAACTCATTGAAACTGGGGTTCCCAAGGACCTCTTTACTATCAAAACCAGTGCGAACTCTCAAAAAGCTTTTTTGTGAGATGAAATTTTTTTACAACACAATAGCAAAGGTGTAATTTTTGTAATTTTAATTACAACTTAATTTAAAAATACCTGATGAAGCTTTGCAACTTGAGCTGGAATAGAGTGATCATCATGATGTTTGCGTGTAGTATAACCATGTCCAGGGAGGTCAACAGCTATAAGATGATATGTTTTAGGGAAGACATTTCCCACAAGACTCCAAACTCCTTTATCTCCAGTAAAACCATGAACCATCAAGACCACATTTTCTGCACCCTGGCCATTCCCTCGTTCAATGTAGCTAAATCTGAAATCTCCAACTGATACATACTTCAGGGTGAAACCTCCCCTTAAGATTAAAAACCTGTACGGCAAAACATTGTGGAAATTGTTTGCAAATATTGACAGATTTACATTGACAAAATGTGCATGTGAAGCATAATGGGATAATAATTATTACATTATCAGAAATCACAAATTTATACTGATGCAAGTTAATTTGGGATGTGGTGATGTGAAAGACAAAAAAGGCAGGGTGAGTGTTCAGGCCAGACAGCAAGGGTGGGGTTCGGCTCTCTACATATTTTCTCAATTACGTGACGTGTATAACATAGTAGCTCATAGTGAAAAACTCGCAGCAAGCGGATAAATAACCCACGCTGTACAGTGTTAGAAGAAACATTGAAAATAATTGCAGTAAAAGAGACCTAACAACGTACCATACCATGTGTACGTCTTCTGAACAAAGACGTTTCTTTGCTGCTAGAGAAATCATTGAAAGTAGAACGCATATCGATACAAAACAAAACCTACGCCCGTAAACAGTTAATTTGTCAAACTTCGGAGAAATTTCACGTAATATTAATAGCCGTAATCACTTAAACAAACAAAGAAAAGGTGACGATTTCTACAATTTACTTCATAAACTACACCGTGAGGTCAATATTTCAACGTTTAAAGATGTATTTCCTATTCATACCTGTGTATTAAGTGGCTCAAGACATGAGGGCATGCGAAATATAACACCACACAAGCCGCCCAGACTAGAAAGGTCGCCAGTACGAGAATCGCGACAATTGGGAGAATTATACCCAGCCATAACACCATGGTCACTTAATTTGCAAGTCGTCTGTTCCTACCAAGCAATTCACTAGCTCTCTTTTCCTGTTGGTATATTTTCTTTGGCTACAGTCGATGCAGTAGACGAACAACGAAGCACTTTGCATCAACAACAAATGAGTCCTGGCAAACAACCGCAAAGGCAATTCATTCACGTCTTATGCTTCAATCGTATAAATGGTTTACATCCTATGACAGGAAGGAAGCAGTGATTATAACCGCAGGATCTGAGAAAAAGTATGCCCTCGTTTGCGAGTCAGCTCGCAACACAGTTTCAATTACCCATGGTGCCACACTCAGATGCGCGTTTATGTCACGCACTGTGCTATCGCAGGATAAAGCTGAGGAAGAAAGCCTAAACTAAACTCCCTTCTGCGCAGCAAAGAGGTTATAACGCCAGACTGAGGTATTCTTCACTAGCACTTGTTTTTTTGTCCTGGAAAGATCTGGAAAGCGAAGTTATTCACCTTTATATGCAAAAATGCTCCCCCAGTGGGATAGGGTAGTCCTCATAATGATTGAATATGCGAGGCTCGGAAGCTCCGCTCAAAGGTGCACCTTTTAAGACTGGCGGCATATAAAAGGATGGGGATTTCACGTGCTGTCAGAGTATACAAGAGGGTATGAAAAACTGCTCTAACAAAGGTCTAAAAAAATCGGCGAACAACCAACAGTTGACTCATCCAACTGATCCAAGTGTGTCTGCTGTAGGTGTAGTCGAAGCCGGGAGTCGAAGCTCTCCTTTGAGATCACTCTCGTAACCGATCAGTTCTAGTTACGACCTCCATTTTGAAACCGCGTCTAAATTGTTATTCATATCCTGTAATTAAAAGCTCTCGTAAGTGACCACTTGACCGCAAGCGACCGAGACTACTTTGGGAAATTACTAGACTGCAAAACAGTCGTATTTTTTGCGAACGCGAGCGAC